GAAATTGACTTTATTCAGCACATTTCTTTTTATTCCTGGAGAAACAAATTCAGAGCATGTGCAGAACCAGGGAAACGGAAGAGGTGAGATGGAGTAGGTTCTCAGTTCGCTTCCTGCTTACATGCCTGGAACGTTTCTCTAAGGCAGAACTTCCTAAACAGGGTGGATTTCAGTGTTCCAAAATACTGATCCTTTCAGCTCACAGGTGGCAGGACAAGGCCTGAAAGGGCCTCCAGTGGCCTTCTCCATGTATTTCAAGTCACTTCCAAATATAGTCCTTTTGTGTATATAGCAAGATGTGACATTTTTAGAGGCACTAAGAAACACTGTTTTAGAGCCTAACAGTCCCAAATTCTTGGAGAGAAACACAAGATGGCTATTTGACCCCATCAAGCCTCTGGTTTGCTAGGTTGCGTGGATGTGTATGTATTTTACATATATACACATGTATGTGTATATGTGTGTCTGTACATATATCTATAGAGAGTATTAGAGAGTTAATCAAGCGTGGTGGCTAATAGCATATGCTTTGGAGTCTAGAAGATTTGGTTTGAAACTCAGTTTCACCATTATCTCACTGTATGCGACCTTGAGCAGGTTATTAAACCCCTCTGAACCTTGGTTTCCTGGGGAATAAATACCTACCTTTCAGGGTCATGACCTTGAGCAAGTCACACTCTGTTCTTCAGTTTCCTCATCTGTAAACTGGGAAAATAATAGTATTTATCTCAAACTTTTGCTGTAAGAATTAATATGTTAACTCATGTCTTAGTATATGAGTTAATATGTATATAAATCAGTTAGAACATTGCCTGTTATGTGATTAACTATGAAGTTGTGAGTCTTCATTATCATTAATCATCATCTCGTAAAATGTTTAGCACAATGTTTATCCTGTTTAGCACAGGATAGCTATCATCATCATTATTATCATAGTTAGCTTTGGGGAAGAAAATGTTTTTGTTCCCACCACAGAAAACCAAAATGTGTGGAGCTCTGACAATTGCTGAGAACATAGGAGATAAGACTCTTTTCTGAGTGAGTGTAAAGTAGACGTCATCTTTGCAGCCTAGAAGATGAGCTCCAATGCAGGCCTCTTATCTAGTCAAAAGTCTCTTCTCTTTACCCCTTTCTTTCCAGCCTCCCTCCATCATATTCCCGTCTTTTTTAAAGCACTTATCCATTAATTCTGCCAAAAAGAAAAATGGGAATATTTGTGTTCTTTGGAACCCTGGCCTGTCCTTGCCATATCAAAAAGCCAGCTGCCAAGGAAGATTTGCCCTGGGGCTCCCTGGCTTCCCCTTGGCATTCCCGTTCCACTGCTCTCCATGTTGGCAGCGGAGGGAAACAATGTTCATGGGAAGGAGTGTGAAGAGTCAGCAAAAGCTGAGCTGAGCTAAAGTGTTTTTAGAAACAGAAGAATAACCAACAAATTGAGCTTTCAGACAGGAAAATAGAGGCAACCAAGACCAAGTCCAGGTGGGCACCCCACGGGCCCAGGAGTCTTGGGGCAGATATATTGTGCAGGGGTGTGACATGGCAAAATGACCCCCTGTGGACTTCTTGTTGCTCCCTGTCATTCCATCTCGGGGTCAATCTACACCATCTCTAGGAATCCGAGCAGAGAGCAGCCCCTAGAAGAGGAATAAAGCAGGAATCGCTTCCCTGGTTCACCCTCCTTTTCCGCACGCATGCTGGATTGTCAGGGAGCTGGTAGAAGAGGGCATGAGTCAGAACTTGAATACTCCAACTAGAGTTCATTCCAAAGCTCTCAGGACAGCAGCCCTGCTAAGGGGCTAGGAGAGCTGCGTGGGAGTCAGATGGACCTGTGCTGAAATCCTAACTCTTCTCTGCAACTGAATGATCATACTCAAGTTATTAATTTCTCTAAGCCTTGGGACCCGCATCTGAGAGATGGAATTAAAGGCAGTTGCACACATTACATTGTGCCTGAACCAGTTAATGTATGGAAAGAACTTGCCACAGTGGGGCATCACAGGTGCTTAATAAATGGTAGCTGTTGTTATTCTATCATCATTATCATTAACATTAAAGTCATGTATAAACCGCTCTTCAATGGGTCTGTCCACTGCTACCCCTGAGACAAAATCTTTTTCCTTTTTTCACTCACATCTGCTGGCAGCTTCCTGCTGGCCTTTCTTGACTCCTTTTCCTCTTTGAATACTGCAACTGATGTTGCTTTAATCTGGGTTTTACTTGTATATATGTGTTTACTCTTTGAGATAGTCCTGGGACTCTGAGCTCTCCTTGAGCCACCCTGGTAAGGAGTGAGGTTGGGACAGAACCCAAGTCTCAGATCTCATCTCCTGCTCTGATCCCTCCAAAGTCTTTTCCTGCCATATCCAATCTGACTGAGGAGACTTATAAACTGCAGATGCGTTCATGGGGCACTTGCTAGAGGCAGGAGAAGGGAAATGATCCCTCCCCACGGAATGATCTCTGGGAGGGAAGGTGGAAGGGAGACTGGGTTACACAACAGGGAAAAATCTTTCTGTCAGTAGCTTCTTATTGGCAGTTATTCTGGTTTCTGGTTTTCAAACTGCTGTGCAAAGTCAGCTACTGACAGTTTGGGCTGCCGTTTGATGATGGAAGAGGTTCATAAGCCCAACTGAAGTTCTCCCAAGCCTCCTCCATGGGATTGTTTCAAAGAAAAAGAGAAAAAATGCCATTGGTATCTTCTTTCTCCGAAGCTTTGATAGTCTCTCCAGTTATCATTCTGGAAAGGACTCTGATCTAGTATTTCATGAGAAAACCTAAATGAAGCATGTAAAAATAATCTTCTGTGGGGTCATAGGAGGGATGGCATTAGATGCTACAGATGGAAATGTTGGCTCAAAGGAACTGAGCTTCAGAATGAACAGGACCCCTTGGACGGTTGTCGACACAGGGTCTCCCCACAGGTCAGAATAGGGAAAAGGTGGTTCATCCTCTTAAGTGGCATGAAAAGAGGGCCTCAGGATACTTAAAGAGAGACTCTGCAATGCCAGGATTCTAAGCCTTACAAATCTAGCAGATGTTTTTGGTAGAGAATTTGGTTGGCTTTGAAAAAGAAGTAGAGGAAGACTTTTAACTCCGCGTGAGGACTCAGTCTTTGAAGGCTGATTAAACGAATACGTGGGTAATACTGTGTGTTTCAGACATCTCCCTTTCTTCGCTTCTGAACCCATTTTCAAGTGATTTTATCCGAGAGTTTATTGAAATGGCTCAGAATATAATTATATCTGTCTTCTTGGCCCTACCTGAGGGATTTGCTCTTTTCCATCTCTTATGTCTAACGAATTCTTGTCACTAAGTTCAATTTCTGGAATTATCTAGCTGACAAAAGTCTATAAAGTTTAGTGTGTCCTGGACATATCTAGTTAAAGAATCATAACTAAATTAATATTTACTGTGTTGCAGAGTGGAACTTAGGTCTGCATCCCCTCACCAGAGGGGGTAAAACAATGAAATGCAATGAGATGAAGTGATTCTATCCTTCCAAGGACAATTTCCTGTTCAACTTAAGCACCTTAACTTTGGTGGCTAAGCTAAGGACAATCTACTTTCTTCTTGTCCCTCCCTTAACAAGGAACTTATTAATTCATTCATTCACTCAACAAATATTTATTGAATATCTGCTGTGTGATAGGAACTCTTCCAGAAGCTGGGAATATAGTAGTGAATAAAACCAAGTTTATGCTCTCATGAAATTATATTTTACTAGGAGGCGATAGACCAATAACCTAATGACTATATTATATGATGCTGGTGGAGATAAGTGCTATGAAGAAAAACAAAGCAGGCTATCTAGCAGAAGACTTGTTAGAAAGCAAACTATTTGGCTAGAGAGAAAGTAAAACACTAACACTTTTTTTTGGTTGTTCCTGCACAGTTTATTAAGTAAAAAGTACATTTTTAAACCAAAGAATAAGCCAGGGTTAATTCTAAATGCATTTATCATGTGTCTAGTTGCTTTTGGTTTCAGATTTTTTTTTCTTTATCACCAGATATATAGCTTGAGATTTCATCTGCCTAAAGAAACATGTTATCATTAAGTTAAGTTTTGATATATGGCAGAAATAACATGACCAAAGCATTAACACTTCAGGCATCCTTCAACCTGTACAGTTTTGCCACTTGAAGGGCTCAGGACTCTCAAATGATATTAGTGGTGCTCAGCAAAGATAAACACCTTTGTGCGGACATGGAGACGTGTACTTGTCATAAAGAGGGAACCGTGTCTCAGGGTCAGGTTTGACTGCCCCGTGAACACCAGCACTTACCTCAGAGATGCGCTGGGCAGAAATAGGCTTGTGATGCTGAACCCGACACATCCAATTTATTTCTTCTTCTTTTTTTGGCTTTAAATCTGCATTTTAAAAATCGTGGTAAAAAACACAGAACATAAAAAAATTACCCTCTAATTTTTAAGTGTACAGTACAGTACTGTTAACTATATACACAGTGTTGTACAGCAGCTCTCTAGAATTTTTTCACCTTGCATCACTGAATCTTTAGTGAAGATTGAACAGCAGCTCCCCATTTCCCCCTCCCCTGCATTCTACTTTCTGTTTCTCTGAGTTTGATTATATTAGATACCTCATATAAGTGGAATCCTACAATATTTGTCCTTTTGCAACTGGCTTATTTCACTTAGCATAATGTTTTCAAGTTTCATCCATGTCATAACGTTGGACAGGATTTCCTTCTTTTTTAAGGCTGAATAATATTTCATATATATATATATATATATATATATATATATATACACACACATACCACATTTTCTTTATCCATTCATTCATCGATGGACATTTCATTTTGGATGGTGGATCCAAATTTGGGTTTGTGGATTGTGCTGCGGTGAGCATGAGTAAGCAAATATCTCTTCAAAATCCTGCTTCCAATTCTTTTGGGTACCAATTTAGGCATTCTTGAACCACTGTATGATGTGTTGACCCTGAATGAAATGCATGGATCACTCTCTTTGTAATTTGCAGTGGTTCCTCCAACCCCCATACACCAAGTACCAGCTGTCTCCCAGGCTCCAGAGACCCAGAGGAGAATAGTAATAAAAGCTAACACTTCTATGATGCTGGGCACTCTTTTAAGAACCTTGGGAGGTAAGTACTATTATTGTCACTCAGGGAGAATGCTGAGGCATACAGTTAACTGGCAAAAAGAAAATGGGGCTTAGTCTCAGGCAGTTTGACCCCAGAGGCTGTGCTTGTAACCCTTACACTGAACAATCTCCTCTTTGCCTTCCAAGTGTTCAGGGTATGGCAGGACGGGGCTGACAGACAAGGAAATGACCACATTCAACAGTGCAGGAATTGCTGCTGTGTATACGCTCAAACAATTTGCTTTGGAAACATGGAGCAAAAAGCACTGAACTCTATGAAGTTGGGCAGGATTTTTCTAGAGGCAGAGAGGTTTGTGTTAAATCCTGACAGGTGAGTGGGAGGAACAAATGAACAAAGGGGCATTTAAGGTACCTTCCAGGTAAAACAAAATCCATGTTTTTTCACACCTGTTTCGTGCATACCTGCATTCAATACCTGCTGTTCAATTTGTGTGTGCTAGACCAGACTGCAAGTATTTTGTGTACTATTAATCCCAAACCCTTGTCACTGGAGGGCAAGTATAATAATCCTCATTTTACAGGTGAAGAGACTGAAATTCAGAGAGGTGAAGTATGGTGCCCAAGAACATCCAGCCGAAGTCCAAGTCCAGTTTGTCGGACTCTCAAGCTGGTACTCCTGACACTCTGCGAAGTATAAAGGGAAGACAGATGAGGTAGAAGTCAAGCTCTTCACCCTTGGAGACCCCTGAAGGTGCAGTTGCCCAGGCAAAGGTGTGGTGTGAGCTGGTCCAACTTGGTCCACTGACTGATAAACCTGCCTGGAGTACACAGCAGAAAAGGAAAGGTTAAGAACAAGGGCAAGGTAGCAAGCCCTTTCTTTAAAGAAAAGAAAGCGGGGCCTCCCCCCCCGCCCCCCACTCCCGAGCTTAGCACTTCGGCACCGCGGTGGAGCTGGGTGTTTGGTTGCCTTGCAGCCACTGTTCTCTTCGGTCTAAGGTTGCAGTTCAAGGCTCCGTTCACCTGACACTACTGAAAAGCGGAGCGAGTGAAACAGTGGCTTATCACAAGGCACCGGAGGTCTCTGTTTCTGGCTGCGTTCTACCGTGCACTTGGCATTCTGAAAGCACTTGTAGATGGACTGCCAGAATGCCAGCTTTTTTTTTTTTTTTTTATAAATCCAAGGTAGGGTCAGATTTTCTCTCCATCCACCCTCCTCCCCATCCCCCAAGGTAGTAATCGCATCATAGGGAAACCTGAGCTGCTTGTTTTTTGCCGCTTGTTCCTATTTGCCTGGAAAATGCATTTGCTGGAGAAGAATCCGGGAGGAGCTCGGTCTTGATTTATTGCTCTTTCCCTGTGAAATTTTTGCTTCTGAGAATTCTATTGTGTCAGAACTGGGGTGGGATTTAGGTCTTGCTCTCAAGGACCCGAGTCTTGGTAATAAGATTAATAAAGGGCATATTCTGGTCTTTCAAGCACTGTGATGTGGGCACTTATTAAGGAGAACGGAGAAGGGATGGTTTGTTAAATTGCTTTGCTGTTCCTGTGGACCTTTACGTACTACCCTAATGCACACGATGGGCAGACTCAGAGGTTCGAGGCTGTCTCACAGGTCCTCCCCAGAACTCTGCAGCACGTCTCTATCTCCTCATTCTCTCCCACACATAACGCCAAGATGCCCTTGACCAAGGGGCTCAGAAGAGGAATAAGTGTGTTTTGCCTTCAATTCAAACATCCTTAGTGATATAGGTGCTCCACGAATGTGTGTTGAACGGGTGAGCTGGGATTTAGGAAAGAGTGGGCAATGGTGGAAATGGGGGCAACAGGCTGGTAGAGAGTGAGGAAGAGAATGGTAGTCCATAGTAGGAAGGAAGACAAAGCTGGTGTCCTAACCTCCTTTGCTTTCTCCACCACCAAAATCCTTTACAGTCCTGGCTTGGGAAATTCAAATATGCTCAATATGTTCACACAGAGGAGGACTTTTCTCTTTGCAAACATGCTTGGGGAGTATTTTTAGTAGAACTTAAATCTGTTTGTACTTTGGGTTCGAAGAGCAACTCACATCCAATGACATTTTCTCTTTTGTGAGACAATCATGTAGTTAAGCACTTGTCAGCAATGGCCACAGGATAGGTTTCTTTTTGTAACTGCGCCAAAGTTTGAAAGGAAAGTTTTTTGTTTTTTTTTTAAAATCATTTCTCAATTCAGAAACTGTATTTTGGTAGATATGGAGGAAAGGACACTTTTGATAAATATACAAGGAGATGAAACAAGGATTACCTTGATTTTAATTATGACAATAATCCAATTGCTCTTTTTCGTGTGTGTGATTTTTAAAAACCACTTTATTGATATATAATTTACAGTCCATAAAATTTACTGTTTAACTATACAATTCAGTGGATTTAATTTACTTATAGAGTCGCTACTATCACCATAATCTAAGTTTGTAGCATTTTCATCCCCCTAAATAGAAACTATGTACCTGGTAGCAGTTACTCTTCATTCCCTCCAGCCCCCAGCCCTAGGCAACCACTATTCTATGGATTTGTCTGTATGGATTTGCCTCTTCTGGACATTTCATATAAGTGGAATCATCTAATATGTGGTCTTTCTTGTGACTTCTTTCACTTCGCATAAGGTTTTCAAGGTTCATCTGAACAATGTCTTAGCCAGTATCAGTACTTTACTCCTTTGTATGGCTGAATAATATTCTGTTGTGTGGATATACCACATTAATTAATTTTTTTACTTTTAAAAATGATTTATTTAAAAATTTTAATTTTATATTGGAGTATGGTTGATTTAAAATGTTGTGTTAGTTTCAGGTGTACAGCAAAGTGATTTAGTTATACGTATACATGTATCTATTCTTTTTCAGATTCTTTTCCCATATAGGTTATTAGAGTTCCCTGTGCTATATAATAGGTCCTTGTTGATTATCTGAAAATAATCCAATTGCTTTTAAATGACAAAATACAAAGTTATAAGCAGTTGGGATCATAATTTCTGAATGTGTGAGGTAATTATGTACATTCTTAGTGGAGTTAGACTTAACTCCTGAATTGTAATTTATTTGTGGTAGAGTGTCATTTTTCAACCTTTTACTAAGTTGGGGGTCAGAATAATTTGATACACAGTTGTACCTAAATACTTCCATAGAGAGGAAAAAAAGAGATTAAAATGCTGCCAGTTTACTGTGTGATATCACTTATATGTGGAATCTAAAAAATACAGCAAACTAATGAATATAACAAAAAAGAAACAGACTCACAGATGTAGGGAAAAACCTAGTGGTTACCAGTGGGAGAGGGCAGGGGAGGGGCGATATAAGGATAGGGGATTAAGAGGTACAAACTATTATGTATAAATAAGCTACAAGGATACATTGACTACACAGGGAATATAACCAATATTTTATAATAACTATAAGAGGAGTATAACCTTTAAAAATTGTTAATCACTATACTGTACACTTGTAACATATAGTGTTGTACATCAACTATACGTCAACTAAAAAAAAGAGAGAGAAGAATCTGGAAAAGACAAAATCTATGAGACCTTGCTCCACATTGCTTGTCATGATGCTTGAGGCTAAAGAAGATGGCTTCTGCTTTAATACGTTGAGGCCTAGAGGAACGTAAAATGGACTCAGATTGCCGGTGGTCTTCACTAGACAGCAAAGCATGCTTGGAAGATTTCCTGGTAAGAACCTGAGACCCTGTAAGAGCTCTGAGGTCAAGGACAATGTCTCTCCTGTTCATAGCTCTATTCAGGACACCTAATAAAGACTTCTAACCCAGTAAGTACTCAATAGATAATTGCTGAGTAGGCTGAATGAAATAAAATGGAAATGGAAATCTGAGACCTTATTGGGTTAAGTGCTGATGATTCAGCAGTGAATAAAACAAAGTCCCTACCCCTATGGTGCTTCCATTCTCACACAATGGTGTTGGTGTAGAGAATTTCGTCAGAATCATTCCACAGGCAATATATATTTTTGTTGAGAAACTATTTTTCCAGAGTGAATTGTACCAAATCAGTTTGATTCCTTGATCAATTTTCTACAGAGTACAGTTAAACATTTCTAATATTTCCATTTTCATTCTTATTTTATTAACTTATTTTACTATTTTTACTGAGAGCTTTTTTCTTGTGAAAACTTTGCAGTGAAATTTGATTCCTTGGTTAGTTTTTTGTCCATTTACAGTCTACCAATTATAGCTTATTCTATTTGTAATTTTTGAACTTCCTTTTGATTCCTGTTTTTAATAAGTCTAACTTTCCCAGGTCAGATTGAAGACCTCATAATTTAGCTGTTGCCAATCTTATTTGATGTTGATTGGTTCTACCATTTGTTATAAGTGAGATAAGAGATCACTAGATTGTGTTTATATCCCCACTAATTCTTGACATAGTGCAGGATGGCTCTACTGTCTGGAATTATTCTCCCATGTTTAACACAGATCTTCTGATCACTTTGCATATTCTGTTCTCTGTGTCAGCAGAACAGAGTGTCACCATATCTGGTTTCATCTCTAACTTTATCTCCTCCCCTGACACTTTAGGCATTGTTAGTTTCAGCCAAATGGACTTCCTACTGAATGATGCTTTACATTTTTTGTTCTTTCTAGCTTGAGAGGTTTTGCTTATACAAATTTTACCAATCTCTTTAGGTCTATGAAGGATGTTTCTGAATCTTCCAATCAGAGGTAAATTTTTTTATATCTTTGATGGCACAGATATTATGTTATATTATATTGTTATGTTATATTACATATTATGATATATAATACATATATATATATATATATATATACCCCAAGATATATGTACATATATAATGACCTTGTCTTATTTTCCATGTTTATCTTGAAATTCCTTGAAGGTACTGTTTGTGCCTTATTTATAGTTATGTTATCTAGGGTTACTTAAAAATCAAGCTGAATCCCTTTCTGAACCCATATCACAGTAGGCTGGAGGGATGATCAGTCTCATTCTTGTTGCTTCTCCTCCCATCACAAGTCCACACTGCTACTATTGAGACACCTTAATCGAACCTGGAATGGTCCTTTCATTTTCTGCAGCTGTGCCCCATCTGTACCATATGTGGGGGGTGGGAAACTTAGGCACTGGGGGTTCCTGGGCCTAGGTTTCTTGGTAATTCATACAGACAAACCTCTGAGGCCTTGCCAACTCTCAGGAGTACTCCCCTGAGATGGGCCTGGGTCCTCATTCCTCTTATTTCTGTAGAATACACATTTCTCAGTTCTACCCATTTAGGTTATTTAAGATAAGCTCTTCAGTAAGTTTTCCCAAAAGACAAAAAAAGTCATCTTCTTCAAGTGGCTTCTGCTTTCTTAGGAAAATTCTCTGCATCAAGGAGATACTAAGGGCCTGGCTACTTGCTTGGAATGGTTGGGGAAGGGAAAAACATAAAGAAGAAAAAAGTATTAATATTTTAGGGAAAAATCCTTCCACAGACAAAAAGCTGAAAGACTGGCTCTGAGATGTGAACCTTTACACAAATAAAGGACTAATCTGAATCAGGGTTGTAGTCAGATGTTCAGCTGACTTGACACAGGAGACCAGTCAACTCTAAACCATAGGAAATATGAGGAAATAAGGACTGGCAGTTGAGCTGCTGGGGATTTGGTAACTAGCAATAGCTAGAAATGTCAACAAGAGGAGAAGCAGCATCAGGAAGGTTTGGCAAAGAGCGGGGAGGGCATTGGGACTCAGGGTTAGGACACTGGTCTTCAGGAGGATCAATGGGACCCAGGCAGGACCTTAGCTCTAGAGGAATGGGCATCAGGTCAGGCAATCACAACAGGGTGTTCAATAAGGAAAAACACAATGAGGACCAAATCACCAGAAAGGGATTCAAAGGTTAACCATATCCAGAAGCAAGGCTGACTTCATGCTAGGTTGCTGAGTCATTGAGCTACTTGATTATAGTTCCAGAATTTGCCCTCTAAAAGGAGGAAGGAAGATTGGTCCTCAAGCTGGGGGTGGGGCTAAGTACCAGCCCGCTGTAGAAATATGAGTTGCCCAAGGGATGGAGAGTGAAGGGATGGGGGAGGAATGGAGAGTGAGTTAGGCAGGCCATTAAACTTGGGTTTCAATGCAGTGTTTGAAAGGACACTGGCATAAAAATTAGTCTTCACACACTTCTCCACACATGGATGCTATCAACACTTAACTTTAAACATGTTGACCAAAATAAAAATGGCCTGCTTTTAAAAAAATCACGACTTATATTTCCTTCTCAAAAGCTCCGTTGCCACAATTCCAAGGTAGAGAATGTCTTATATGTTGAAAAATATAGTGACAATATTGTTCTGATAATGACTGTTAGTGAAGTCTCCAGAATGAATAGAACATTTTCTGGGAGGATTAGAGAGCATGTCATGGATGATTGCCAGTTTGTGAACCATTAGTCAGGAAACACTTGTGTTAAGGTAACTCTAAGACCTTCAGTTGGGCAACAACCATAACTGATGCAGTGAAAGCACTTGAATGTTTTTCAGTGACTTCATAAGCAAATAGATCCAATCTCTTTCCACTTTAATCTGTACCACATTCTACAAAGAAAAAAAGTTTTCTTAAACTATTAAACACATTCTTCCTCTTGCTTCAAAATTTTGGTAGATCCTTAATATGCTCCACATCAAGTCCAAAGTCTTCCTGTCAAAGATATCCACCACTTGGGCTTCCCTGGTGGCACAGTGGTTGAGAGTCCACCTGCCGATGCAGGGGACACGGGTTCGTGCCCCAGTCCGGGAAGATCCCACATGCCGCGGAGCAGCTGGGCCCGTGAGCCATGGCCGCTGAGCCTGCGTGTCCAGAGCCTGTGCTCCGCAACAGGAGAGGCCACAACAGTGAGAGGCCCGCGTACCGCAAAAAAAAAAAAAAAAAAAAAGATATCCACCACTTGAACTCACTCCACCTATTCATTGTTCTCTCATTGTTCCCAGCCATATTCTTCCCTTAATCTGTTCTCTGAATATGTCAGGCTAATCATTCAAATCTGACTTCCACTTCTGGTCATGCTGTTGATGCCACTGGAGCAAACTCCTTCTGTCTTCTTTGGGATATCCAGATCCTGCCACCTTTCCAGATCAAGCTCTTGTTTCACTTCCTCCATGAAACCATTTCCAAGAACTTTCTCCCTTCTTTCGACTCTCAGTGTTGCAGAAACAAATGGTCATCTACTTACAACAACTCTCCTTTGCTTTTTCTTTTATAGAGTCCCAATTTTGTTCTGGGCAGCTCTTTTGAAGCAAGGAGTGATAATACTCTGGCTAGTGAGACAGAAATGAATTTCTATGAATTGTTTTCCCAGTATAGATATGGCATCTCCTTTTCCTCTTGAGGCTTCTTTTATTTTTTTCTAGCTTTATTGAGATACAATGGACATGTAACATTTTGTGAGTAAGGTGTACATATACATATAAATGATTACCACCATAAGGTTACTTAACATGTCCTTCACCTCACATAGTTACCATGTTTTTTATTTTTGTGGTGAGAACAATTAAGTTCTACTCTCTTAGCAGCTTTCAAGTATACAACATAGTCAACTGTAATCATCATGCTGTACATAAAATCTCCATAACTGATTCGTTTTATAAATAGAAGTTTATTTCTTTGACTAACATCTCTTTTGTTCAACCCTCCAGTCCCTGGCAATCAGCAATTGACTCTCTGTTTCTATGAGTTCGGCTTTTTTAGATTCCATATATGTGATACTGGTATGTCTTTCTCTGACTTGGTTTACTTAGCATAATGCCCTCAAGTTTCATCTATATTGTTGCAAATGGTAAGATTTCCTCCTTTCTCATGGCTGAATAGTATTCCATTGTTTATATACACCACATTTTCTTTTTTTTTTTTTTTTTTTTTTTAACATCTTTATTGGGGTATAATTGCTTTACAATGGTGTGTTAGTTTCTGCTTTATAACAAAGTGAATCAGTCATACATAAACATATGTTCCCATATGTCTTCCCTGTTGCGTCTCCCTCCCTCCCACCCTCCCCATCCCACCCCCACATTTTCTTTATGCATTCATCTGTTGATGGCTACTTAGGTTGTTTTCATGTCTTGGATATCGTGAATAATGCTGCAACGTGTATGGAGTGCAGTATCTCTTCCAGATAGTGATTTCATTTCCTTTGGTTTATACTTAGGCGTGAGATTGCTGTATCATATGGTAGTTCTATTTTTAATTGTTTGAGGAGCCTTTATACTGTTTTCCATAGTGATTGTACCAATTTACATTTCTATCAATAGTGTTCCAGTCTTTCCTTTTCTCCACATCCTTGCCAGCACTCGTTATCTCTTGTCTTTTGATACTAACCATTCTGACATGTGTGAGGTGATATCTCATTGTGGTTTTGATTTGCATTTTCCTGATGATTAGTGATGTTTAGCACCTTTCTATTGCCATCTTTATGTCTTCCTTGGAAAAATGTCTGTGCAGGTCCTTTGCACACTTTTTAATCAAATTATTTGGTGTTTTTGCTATTGAGTTGTATAAGTTCCTTCTATATTTTGAATAATAACCCCTTAGCTATATGGTTTGTGATATTTTCTTTCATTCCACAGGTTGCCCTTTCATTTTGTTGATTGTTTTTTTTTGCTATGCAGAAAATTTTTAGTTTAGTGTAGTCCCACTTGTTTATTTTTCCTTTTGTTGCTTCTGCTTTTGGTGTCATATCAAACAAATCATTACCAAGATTGATGTGAAGGAGGTTTTCCCTATGTTTTATTCTAGGAATTTTATGGTTTCAGTCTTACATTTAGGTCTTTAGTCTATTTTGAGTTAATTTCTGTGAGTGATATAAGATAGGGGTCCAATTTCATTACTTTGCATGTGAATATCCAGTTTTCCTAGCATCATTTATTGAAGAAACTATTTTTCCCCCATTGAATATTCTTGGCTCCTTTTTCAAATATTAGTTGACTGTATATGAATGGGTTTATTTCTGGGGTCTTCATTCTGTTTCATTGTGCTATGTGTCTGTTTTTATGCCAGGACCATACTGCTTTGGTTACTATAGCTTTATAGTATAGTTTGAAATCAGGAAATGTAATGCCTGCAGCTTTGTTCTTTTTTCCTCAAGATTGCTTTGGCTATTTAGGGTCTTTTCCACACAAATTTTAGGAAAATGCTATTGGAATTTTGAGAGAGATTGCATTGAATCTATAGATGGATTGGGGCAGCATGGACTTTTTAACAGTATTAATGGCTTTTTTGTGCCATAAACATGAAAAAATCTTTCCATTTATTTGTTTCTTCTTCAATTTCTTTCATCAGTGTTTTATAGTTTTCGGTATACAGATCTTTCACCTCCTTGGTTAAATTTATTTCTATTTTATTGTTTTTGATGCTTATTATAAATGGAATTTTTAAAAAAATTTCTTTTCAGATAGTTCAATGTCAGTGTATAGAAACCTGCATGATTTTGTATCCTGCAACTTTACTGAAATTATTTATTAGTTTTAACAGTGTTTTTCAGCTTTATTGAGGTATAATTGACAAATAAAATTATAAGATATTTAAAGTGTACATTGTGGTGATTCAATATATATATGCATTGTGAAAGGATTCCTCCAATCTAGTTAAACACACAATCACCTCACATATTTATCTCATTCTTCCTCTTCTCCTTCTTCTTCCTCTTCTTCTTCTTCTTTTTTTTAAACAT